CACCTACACTCACCTTTACTGGCTCCATCCCCGCCTCTTCGACCTGTTTGTTTCCTCTCCACCTATCCTCTCCTCTATCCATCTTCTTTCCGCCTCCCACTCTCTCCCTATCTATTTCAGAACCCCCTTCCCCTCCCCCTTTTCTGATGAAGGGTCTAGGCCCGAAACGTCAGCCTTCCTGCTCCTATGATGCTGCTTGGCCTGCTGTGTTCATCCAGCCCTGCACCTTGTTGTCTCGGATTCTCCAGCATCTGCAGTTCCTACTATCTCTAAAGAAATTGGTTGATGTGATTTCAAATAATGTTTAAAAATATTTGGAGATGTAACAAAATATACGTGACAAAAATTTGGAATCAAAGGGAATTTTCCTACATGGCTGGAGAAGTGATTGGCACACACTGATGAAAATTGACCAAGCCAGTTTAGCAAATGTGAAATCTCTCAGCCTAGTTCCTGGCTTAAAAACTGTTATATCACCAACTTTTCCCAATTCTAATTAAAAGTCATTGACTTAATGCATTAACTCTTGTTCCTCAATCTCCACAGATGTTGCCAGACCTGCTTGTGCTTCCAATGTTTTCTGTTTATTATGATAGCATTAGCTATTGTATCATCCCAAGATCAGTAGCCAAGATGACCAGGGACATTTACCTTGTTATCTCAGATTCTCCAGCATCGGCAGTTCCTACTATCTCTAACAATCAGTTATGTTGTCTTTAGTGGCCAATAAACAAACTCATTGTAAGGGCACTGCAAGTGGTATTTAAATGGGTAATTAATTTAACTGACAGAGCTGCAAGCAAATTCCTGAACATAAAATTGTCAGAACATGGCTAGATTTTGATTGCTGGGTGGAGAATTTACAGAGATAACAGTCAAAGGGATAATCAAGCTTGACTAGGCAAAAGAAACAACCCTTGGTGTGAACTTCTAGATAGAATGCAGATTGCCAGTTATTGCAAGAGGAATAGTTTGAAACAATGATAACATAAAAAATAAGTCAGCAGCCTAATTGATGTTTTATAAGCCCCAATGTTTGAACAGAGGAATGGGATTGTGCTAAATATGCGGTATTTGCTTTGACTGTTTACTTACATATTGAAAAGCTGTCCATGGATAAAAAGCAGCTCAATAATTTATGTTGAATCTTGTATGAAATAGGAAATGTTTCTGCACTGCAGCAGTGGCTGCAATTCAAATGTCATTTATTACCTATGAGGAAACAGGTGTACTCCCAAGAACCCATCCTGGTAGCATTTGATGAGGAGTTCTAGGTTTGAGTCTTATTGCTCCAGTGATGTGTCATAACATCACTGGACAGGTTGATTAAAAATACCTAGCATGTGATGAGAAGTGTATTTGTAGGATAGTGTCCCAGCCTCTAAGCCAGGAGGCATGATTCAAGTCCAACCATACCATGTCTGAACAGGTTGATTTTAAAAAAATAGCTAGCATTTGATGACTAGGGGTCTTGTGGTCAAGGAAGCCCAGGTTCAATTTCTGTCCTGCTCAGGGCTGTTTAAGAAAATCTTTGAACATTGATTTTAACATGTCCAGCATTTGTTGATATCATGGATCATTTGTAACCTAAATCCATATAACCACTTCTGTCCCATATATCCAGAGTCATGGAAACCAACAACACAGAGAAAGGCTCCTCAGCCTATTGTGTCCTTGCTGATCAAAAACATCCACTTAACTATTCTAATCCCATTTTTCAGCATTTGGCCCAGAGCCTTATATGCCTTGGCATCGCAAGAATACATCTGAATACTTCTTAAATGTTATGAGTGTTTCACCTCTATCACTCTTAAAGGCAGTGAGTTCCAGATTCCCACCATCCTCTGAATGAAAAGATTTTTCCTCACATCTCCTTTAAATCTTCAGTCCCTTTGAATTAAAAATAAACTATCAAGATCATATTTAAAAATTAACAATGGTTTTGACTTCAGTTGCCATTTGCAGAAGAGAATTCCAAACTTCTAACCATATTTACATGATTTCTCCTGAATGGTCTGGATCTAATTATTTGACCTTGCCTCTTTGCCAGTCTGTCCAATTTGTCAAGATAGTTTTTTTTATCCAAATCTAATCTGTCCGCTCCTCTAAAATTCTTGAAAACTTTGAACAGATCAGCCCTATGACCCTTACAATTCCAGGGAACATGTCCTTGATTTATATAGTTTCTTCTAGTATCAACTGTTGAAGTTCAGGTACCAATCTGTAGTGTTATGACTCACTGTCATTATATCAAAATCTTTAAGAAACATGTTCACGATATCATAGTAACCATAGTATGTGACCTGAGGGTATTAAGTTACATCCTATCCTGGGATCACTTAAAGCATGGTGTGCTATTGGAAGCTTGCTGCTCAGTTGTGATAAAGTAATGAAATATTAACCCAGACATAGTGCCTGTGAATGTGATATTTGTAAACAACGGTGAGTTATGATAAATACCTGTTAAATTATTCAATGTTCATGTGGAGTTTCTTCTATTTCAAAGGATAATATAAGCATTGCTGCATCAGTCAAAATATCCAGTTTGTAGCAAACTCACATCTTGTTCTAAATTCAAAATTGCACACTCTCCAAGGACACTACTATTTATCTTTCCTCAATTGGGTGATTAGAATTCTTCCATTATCAAGTTCTTATTCACTCCAATTTTGGAAAAACATTGAGCTCATGCAATTGAAGAGGATGTGCATCTTGAGTTCTGATCACAAGGGTGATCTCTAGGGTTACACTAATATATTGATCATACTGGAAAGTGTGGAAGGATCTAAAATGCAAGAATTTTAAATTATGTCCAGACAAACAGCATTGCTGTGCTCAAAATAATTCCTAATACTTATCCTTGAGGTGTTGGAGGATAGAAATAATTTCTTTACACAGTAAAATGTTAGAACATAAATTTCTCTGCAGCTGATTTTTACGGTAGCAGAAACTGTAAATTCTTCCAAATGGGAATTAGATGCATGAAGGAAATGGAAGGGTTTTGTTCGGAAACATTAGCTTAGGCTGCTCACACGGAGACAAACAATGACATTGATTCTGCAGAGCATCTGGCTCATTTCTGTACTCCAAGATTCTGTGTTTGGTGAATCTTATTTTCTATGTACTAATGTTTAAATTACATACCTGAGAAATTGTTGTTGCATTTAATTTTGGTGTCATAATGAGATCGCACACGACCAGCTCAACATCATAACGTAATGAATTTGGACTGGCAGTAAAATTGATAACCACGTCATTATTAACCATACACAGAGATATGTTTGGATTCCACTGGGCATCTGTAAATGTATAGTAATTCAATAATTGCAAAGATAATTTATTCTATCTAGGTTGTTTTTTAAATGTTTACATGGATGCCATTGCAAATGTAAAAGCAAAAATGAATATCATACTGAAATCAATTGATTTATTTAGGTGATATAATTATTACAATATAATCCCTAATTCTGCAAACATAACAACTGTTTTATATTAACTGATATTCAACATTTATTATAGATTCAAAGCGATCATTAAAAAGTGCAAATAACCCAAGGCTGAATTTTGAGAGCATGGTGGAGGGGGTGGGCATGCATGTGGAATTTCATGCCTCTAATGGGGTCTTGGTTCTTCAGTTGCATCTGGATTCCAGGCCACTTTCCAACAGACACAATGTGGTTTGGTGGGTTTCCATCCATCACAGCCTATTGTTGACAGCCATCCAAAGTTTTCCAATTGTTTTCCATACTCTCCAAAAACGTATTGGGGAACAATATATGGAGGCAACTGGCTGGCAGTGAACCAAAGATCAAACCCACAGGAAGGCTGAGAAGCCCTTGTTGCCTGCCTAACCTCAACTACATCAACAGGCTGCTGGGGTTCCACAATTGCACATTTTATTTCTCTTTATCGATATCTTAATTTAAATTAAATATAGCCTAGAATTACTTCCTGATGTTAGGGTCATTGCCATAGGTGCCCTCCGCTATGGTAAGTTTCATGACAGGAGGACATTTAATCAGACAGGAGGGTGGTGGGTGGAGAGACAGATGCCTAGGTTACATCTAGGGTGGGAAGACCCATGGACAACCTTGCCAATCCAGCCATAGTTTGGGGTTTTAATAGACAATTAATGGCCAAGTAGACTTCCATCACTGGATTGACAATGATGTGGAGGTGCCAGTGTTGGACTGGGATGGATAAGGTCAGATACCACACGACACCAGGTTATAGTCCAACAGGTTTATTTGAAAACACAAGCTTTCATAACCTCGCTCCTTCTTCAGCTGTTAGTGAGAGAAGTGGCATCAGACACAGAATATGATGAGCAAACCTTGGCTTTTTTGTTTGAGAGCTCATGGAGGGTCACTTGTTTGATAGCACATTCAATTGAAGGACCCTTCAGGAGGTGCAGGCAACTGTGAGCTGCACACTGGTTCCTTGCTGCTGACACCCACCTACCCTCACCTCTACCATCTTCCCCATCACTCAACTGCTTGGATCCCTCTTTGATACTAAGCTTCAGTGAGTGTCATACTGGCATCAGCCACCACCTCCTATGTGGCACAGCTGAGTACAGAAGAGTGGCCAGCCTTCGATCAGCCAGATGCTGCAGTTTGGAGCCTGCCTGTAGGATAGGACATGGGCCTGTAATTACCCAAGCAGCACAAGATGCTTCCCAGAAAAAGGCAACATGCCGGGTAGTGGGGGTGGACGGGGTTGCGGGGGGGATGTCTCCAGCCACTGACCAAGACTCCTGTTGACTCCTCAAGAGTCCATGCATACACTCCATTGGATACAGTAGGAGGCCATTGCCTCAGAATAGTCCTGCAAACATAGTATAATGGCAACTTTTTATACTAAAGTATGAAGAAATATGGGCATATGACCTATAGTCACCCTTCTACCTTTTACACTGATTGCACAAAACCTCCATAAAATTTTTTGCTTATGCTTATTTTGTTCACTTTTTTTTAACATTCAGCTACTAGCTAAGTAGATTGACAAAGGATTTTGGCTTTGTTACCAGTCAACATACATATTATGAATACATAGTGTGAATTTCAGCTAATATCACTTCCAGCCAATACTTTTACAAACAACTTTTGAAATAACATTAATGTTTGCATGAGGGTGATGCCAATCGTGTACTTAATAAATCTGGCTGCTAAAGATAAACAATAAAGTTCTTTTTAGGGTTTTATTTTAAAGAAACAAGTTTCCTACCTTCACAGCTTTCATGATTTTTCATTGTCACATCAAAACAAGCTATACAATAGAAAAAAAAATGTCAGGTTCACAAAAGCTGTACATAAGACTGTAATGAATTTAGTCTCAAGATACATTCAACTGATTGCAGATAGGACTATGATGTTAACCTACATTTTTTGAGTTAGGCAGTGGAACTATCTGGTATACCTCACAAAGGCCATTTTTAAAGGCAAAGCTTGCCCATGCATTTCAGGATATCAATTATATCCATGCTCTGCTAACTTTCTGTCCCCTAATATACACACATATTCTCAGCAAGGCTGACAGTTCAGGAATCAGAAACTGAAACCTAAGTCAATATTCCCATTCCCTAATCCAGATACAAATATTGAAACCATTTGTGCCAGCTTTCTGCCAGATCAGGTAAGTTCAGCAAATGCAGCAGAAGTTAGGAGATCTCCTCTGTTGCTTACTTGCTTTCTCCAAAAATTCACTGAAACATCACTAAGTTAGTTATCATACCAGTATTCAGAAGACGGGATTTCAGATTTCGTTTATAAAGGTGGATAACAACACAAGAAATAAGAGCAGGAATAGGCGTATGTGTCTTGGATCTCAGCCTCCAATAAGATCATGGCTGCATCAACTCCATTTTTTCAAGGCCTCCCTCAAATATCACTTGATTCCTTAAGTGCCCAAGCATCTTTCAATCGCAATCTTGAATATACACGTCAAGTGAGCATCGAACAACCTACTGCACTAGAGAATTGCAAAGAGACACAAGCATCCTTTACTTCTATCCTAAATGCCTGATCCCTTTGTTACTAAAACTTCTAATTCTAGACTTGCCAATCAGAGAAAACAGTCTCACAGCTGTCTCTCTCTTGTTTTTATGTTGTAATAAAGGTCTTGTTTCATTTTTCTAAATTAATATAAGTCCAATCTATTTAATCTCTCCTTGTAAACCCACATTCTCATCCCTTGAAATAATCTACTGAACCATTTTTTCATCCACCTCTAACAAATCTGGCTTTCCTTAGTTATGGAAACTGAAATTGTGGCCAATTTTGGTATGATTTCATGAAATCTCAATGCAAAGCAATAAGGCTACCTTGCACTTGCACTCTAAACCTTTTGAAGGCTAATATATCATTTATTTCCCTATTTGCTTGCTGTACCTGCCTGTTAACGCTGTGATTTATGCATACGGACATCCTTCCGAACATCAACATTTATTGCCTGACATCTTTTAAAATAAAATTCTACTCTTCCTTCCAAAATGGATAATTTCACATTTCATTACATTGTACTACATCTGCCATCTTTTCACCCAATCACTTAACTGATCTGTATTCCTGGGGAACCTCTTGCACCTCATCTACAGCTCAGTTTCCTACCTAGTTTTGTAGGTTATGCAATGAATAGGACAACTGGAATTTTTTAGTTCATAACAATTTTAGTTTTTTCAATTTCTGTCATCATTTACTTGAAAACCAAAACTGAAAACTGAAAGGTGGCTAATGACATTCCAAATATAAAAGTTAATATGAAGTAAGTGCACAAATTATGAAAAGCAGTTAACATTTAAATTTTCACTGCATTTCCAGTGGTGGAGGTTATCATAATTGAATTTTTTTTGAAAGGATAACACTTTAATTTACAAATAGAAACACTGTTTATAGGGGAACCATGCTCTCTCCACTCTATTCTAAACCCTTCCATCCTACCATCACTTACATGCGCAACTTTAATCAACTGTCATTGAAAATGTACTCAGAAAAAATAATTTGCCTTATACTTGAAAAACAGAACATACATAATACACTTACATGGTGTGAAAAGACTAATGGATTTCTCAGGTGGATATTCACCAGTATTTGCTGTTGGGATGTTGAATGCAGTCACAAAGTAATTGGTTTCTGGCTCAACAGGATATTCAGCAAAATAAAATTGCCACTTGAAAAAAGGAAGCAATATTTTAAATGTAACAAGGTATTACATTTCAGGAATGTTTGCAGCTTTTACTATGTTTTGTATAATCTTACAAAATTCTGAAATACAGTGTATACTATGACACTGATTAAAGAAAGATAAATACTGTTTTGAAATATGCCAACATAAGGGTTCCCTTACAACACATGTTAGACACCAGCAATCATTCAATGTATTTTTTATAATTTCTGACAGTAATAAAGTTGTTGTGTTGTATTGTGATTCATGGAATCATTATAGTATAAAATTATATTTAATAAGTTCTTGTCTAAGCAAAGATTTACACTTTTTTTAATGAATGTTAGCTTATCGTTGCTACAACGCATATTATATTCATCAGGAAGTCTCTACAACTCACTGGTTGATCTTGAGGATTTCGTGCTGATTCAAACAATGCACTGTAATCACATCGAAAACAGACCTTTTGTTGACTTTGAATGCATATCATAGTGGCTCTAAGTTCTTGAATACTTCCTAGAAAAAAAGACTGCTTGTCAAATGGGAGAGGCTTTGCCAAAATGATACCAGTCAGGTCAGTAATTACAGTAAACAATGTGAAAATGAACCACGCAACACTTAGTAAGATTTCAGGCAGCAATACTTAACTATGTTACAACAAAACAACAATAAATGGGGACATCTTTAAATGTGAATGCTGTATCTGTGAAAATCAGAATTTTTTTCTCAAACTGTTTTTCACTTTTTTTGGTATTTAAATTTGGTTGCATCCTGCCTCTCCTCATACAAATATTAAAAACAGAATGTGAAAAATTCACAATGCTAAATGATCTGAACTTTTTTGTCCTCTACACGAAGTTCCAACCACAACTTGCATATACTGGATAAATGTGGATTACACAAATCCATCTCAGATTGGTGAAGGGAATATTGTTTTTAACTAGTTTGATTGAGATTTTTAAGAGGTAACAGAAGATGGTTGGAGTATTTCTGTTGATGTCACATACTTGGACTTCAAAAGGGTATTTGATATATCATCACATAATAAGCTTTTCAGCAAAGTTGAAGCCTAGGGAATAAAAGGCACAGTGGCAGCATGGAAATGAAGTTGGCTGAGTGACAAGATAAAAAGACTAGGGGTGAACGGTGAACAGTTATTTTTCAAAAAAGAGGATGGTTATGGTGAGATCCAGAAGTTGGCACCAGTTTGCATGAGTATTCATGACTTAGGTTGAATGTACTCAACACAATTTCAAATTTGCGAAGAGGCAAAATTTGAAAGCATTGTGAATTGTGAACTGTGAGGATGATAGTGATCCACTTCAAGAAGAAATAGACAATCTGATGGAATGGGTGGACAAATGGCTGTGAGTGATGAACCCTGTATTGAGAAGGTTCTGTTCTTGTTCTAAACACCAGAAGTTCGTCCAATTCCACAACCACTGTCTCACAAAATCTCTCCCACTATTATTTACTTCTGGCCTGGTCACTCTGTGACTGACATTCCAAAAGCAGCCAGCACTTATGTAGCAACACTGCTAAGCAAAAGAGTTGTTGGCCTCTGCTGGCACATTTTAATAATTGGGACCTCAGTCCCTGAGGAATTGGCCACAGGAAAATCCTGCCACTGGTCTCTCAGTGCCTGATTATATTGTGATTTGGTGTGTCTTTCCAAAGGAGGCAATATTAATCTAATCGGCTGTTCAGAAGGTAGGCAAAACCCCCACCATCTCCCCAAGGATCAGTCCTATGATTCTATATTGAGCATGGTTAGACAGGACATATTCTCCTACTCACCATGCAATGCTATAAGTGAATTATCAATATTTTTTAAATGAGCAATATATTTTACACACAACACCATCATAGAACTTACATTCACATAGCATTGTGGATATACCTACACCATATGGACTTGTAGTGGTTCAAGAAAATGATTCCTAATCAATTTTCTTAGGGAAGGGCAACAAATGCTGCCCTCACCAGCATTGTCCACATCCTGTGAATGAATTAAAGTAAGTGTATATTGGAAGACATCTCACCATCTGGGCTGATGATCCAGCTGATATTAAGCACTGGACTCTGACTTTCTTCTGATGGTTGTAACTGAACTTGAAGATCCAAAATATCTGAAGGGGTTCTCTCATTTGTCATTGCCCACTCTGGTGGAGGTTCATTGACTAAATTTAAAGGAGACTATTTCAGATTTCTACATGTAATTATGAACACTACATGATAACATTAAAGCAAACGTATTTTGCAGGCATAAAATATGAAAATTGGCTCAGTAAATGCTTTATATAATGACAATCTACTATCTATCTACTAACTCTGAGGGATAGGCATGATTTTCATCTATTCAATAAATAAGGGTGTGGTACAGTAGCTCAGTGATTAGCACTACTGCTTCATAGCACCAGGGACCTGAGGTTCGATTCCAGCCTTTGGTGACTGCCTGTGTTTACACGTTCTCTCTGTGTCTGCACGGGTTTCCTCCCGCAGTCCAAAGATATGCGGGTTAGGTGGATTGGCCATGGTAAATTGTCTACAGTGGCCCGGAATGTGCAGGCTAGGTGGGTTAGCCGTGGGAAATGTGGGGTTATGGGGATAAGATAGGGGTCTGGTGGGATGCTCTCTGGAGGGTTGGTGCAGATCTGATGAGCCAAATGGCCTCTTTCCACACAGTAGGGATTCAATGATAAAGTTATACAGGTTAGAGAAGTTCTCAGATTTTGACGCCCCCTCACCCCCATTCTCCTGAAATCCAACTCATTCAAATCTATGCTTGTCGTTGCCGATCATTGAGCTGAATCTGTAGTGACTTCATAGAGAGACGGGAACTGCAAAGCTAGCGATTGTCTCTTCTGGGGGTAAACATAGAACGAGGAAACAGAAGCCACACATTCACACTGGAAACCAATGAAAGAGTTACATCTTGAACTGAGTGGTATTAGACCATGGCCTGTTTCACTATTGCTGGACGATTGGAATATCATTTAAAGAGGAAAGGTTTATTAAAAATAGGAAGGATATACAAGAGGATAGCAAGAACTGCAGATGCCGGAGTCAGAGACAACAGTGTGGAACTGGAGGATCACAGCAGACCAGGAAGTATCAGAGGAGCAAGAAAGTTGAAGTTTTGGATCAGGACCCTTCTTCAGAAATGGAGAGGGGGAAGGGAGCTAGGAAATAAATAGAAAGGAGGGATGGAACTGGGGAAGGTAGGTGGGTTGGTGATAGATGAGTGCAGGTATGGAGTAGTGGTGATTGGTCAGTGGGATGGGTGAGGCGGACAGGTGGGAGAGAAGATGGACACGTTGTGTCGGGTCAAGGAGGCGGGAATGAGAGAGAGGCCGGGGTGTGGAAATTTTAAAACTGGTGAATTCCATGTTTAGGCCATCAGGCTGTAGGCTCCCAAGGCAGAATATAAGGTGGTGCTCCTCCAGTTTGTGGGTGGTGTCATTGTGACACTGGAGGAGGCCCAGGAGGGTCATGTCGCCCAGGGAGTGGGAGGGGGAGTTAAAACAGTTGGCAACCGGAAGGTGTTGTCGTTTGTCACGTACAGTTAAATGCAGATGCTCTACGAAATAGTCCCCGAGTCTACGCTTCGTCTCACCAATGCAGAGGAGGCCACATTGCGAGCAGCAGATAACAGTAGACCAAGTTGACAGATGTCCAGGTGAATCCCTGTCTGATAATGGAAGGTTTGTTTTGTGCCTTGAATGGAGGTGAGGTGGGAAGTATAGGGGCAGATGTAGCGCTTCCTGCAGTGGCAGGGAAAGGTGCCGGGGGTGCTGGGGTTAGTGGGGAGTGTGGAGTGGATGAGGGAGTCGTGGAGAGAGCAGTTACGGTCCTTGAAATAAGAGGATTTTGCCTTTTCTCCCCAGAATTCTCCCATCTCCCTATCACTACAATGCCCTCCCCTTCCCCACCCCTCCCTAAAACCCCTAAGCTCAATCAATAAAACCCCCAGAACTGACTGATCCCTAATCCCCTGCCTATTTTGATTGACAGTTCTGGTCATAACTGATCTGATGCCTGACTGCTGTTCTTGCAGTTCCCCAATTGATGGTTTGTAAGTCTCCTGACTGCCTGTTTTGAGTCTACAGTACTGACCACAGCCCAATTCGTAGACTGTAGTGAGATAAAACCCCTCACCATGACTGCCCCAGGGAGCTTACTTAAGTTCCCAAGCCCCTGAGCGTGCATGCAGTGCCCTTGGCTGACTGATCCAAGAGCCCTGAATGACAGCAAATTCTCCCCCACCACCCCCACGCAACTCAAGATTTCACCTCATGGACTTTCAGATGTGGCCAGTTGGTTGAAGCATGCGCAAGGTATTTGCCACACCGGTAGCTGGTACATGGCGTAAGTGTGAGATTGACATAATCCCTGCACTGATCACTACTGTCAAGCACTGGAAGCAGTACAGCTCTTGTTCTGCATAGAACAGTTTCAAAATAGAAGTACTGTGAGCTTTTAAGCCCTGGGTGAAGCACCAACATGCTAAAAGATGCACAGCAAGGCAAGGCAGGGATGCTATAAGCATTCAGGTCTGTGCTGAGAGAGTGAACACTAAGAATCACAGCTGGCAACTCTGAGATGCATTCTGGTCCAATCTGAGTGTTGGGTCCCTGTGCTTGTGTGCAAACTATCATCGCAAAGCATTTCAATGGTGGTTGCAGATGCACTCCAAAATACAACATTGAAGTGTGGAAGCGTACTGTAAATGGATCAGAGATGATCCAGCCTCTCTGTGCCATCAAGGCACATATTGGTTGCCACTCCAAGGGTGTTAGGTGTGTGCAACCAATGCACTGGAGTGTGCCCTGATCACTGGCATCAAGTGTCCAAGGCAGCAGTTCAGATAAGCAAACGGCACATTGGAATCACCAGGTATGCATGTTGATTTTCATGTCAGGAATTCTCAGCATGTAGTTTCTAAAATGCTGTGGTACAATAGGAAGCTACATTATCAATGAGGTGAGATTTGCTGTTGATTAGGATGATAATAAAAATAACCCCCTTTAATTAAGCATTTCACTGCCCCTAGCAATAATTTTTGCAGATGATACAAAGATTGGTGGAGTTGCAGATAGTAAAGAGGATTGTCAGAGGATACAGCAGGATATAGATCAATTGGAGCATGGGCAGAAAAATGGCAGATGGAGATTAACCTGGACAAATGTGAGGTGATGCATTTTGAAAGGTGGAAACTATACAGTGAACGGCAGAACTCTTAGGAGTATTGATGTACAGAGGGACTAGGTGTGCAGGTCCACAGATCACTGAAGACGGCACTGCATGTAGATAAGGTAGTAAAAAAGGCCTATGGAATGCTTGCTTTCATTGGAAGGGGCATTGAGTATAAGAATAGGCAAGTTATGCTGCAGCTTTATAGAACTTTAGTTAGGCCACTCTGGAATATTGCACACAGCTCTGGTCACCATACTACCAGAAGGATGTGGATGCTTTGGAGATGATACAGAAAACTTTTACCAGGATGTTGCCTGGCAGGGGGGATTTTAGCTATGACTTTGTTTTCACTGGAACACAGGAGGTTGAGGGGCAACCTGATAGAAGTTTATAAGATTGTGAATGGCATGGATAAAGTGGAAAGTTTGAGGCTTTTTCCCAGGGTGGAGGGGTCAATTGCTAGGGGACACAGGTTCAAGGTGCAGGGGGAATGTTTGAAACAGATGTGCGATGCAAGTTTTTCACACAAAGGGTGGTGAGTGCCTGGAATGCGCTGCCAATGGAGGCGGTGGAAGCACACATAATAGCAGCATGAATGAATACATAAATAGGAAGGGAATAGAGGGGTACAGATCCTATAAGTGAAGACAGTCTTATTATGGAAGGGGAATTCGCTTGGAGGGCCAAAGGGCCTGTTTCTCTGCTGTATTGTTCTTTGTTCTAATATTGTCTTGACATCCAGCACTTTGTTAGAAAATGCGACTAGTTGCTCCCACCATCAACAACAGAGGCCTCATTTGACTTCTCGCACAATTCTCTCAGATTTCTCACTATAGTTCATGTCAATGAGAGCCCTATAAGATCCTGCCCAGTGAGTTTTGAGGAGGGAGATGCAGACCTTTAAGACACAGCCATCCGTGGTTTGGTGATTAAAACCTGGGAGGCCCAGGAGACCAGTATTAGAAAAGTGCAGATCCTCAGAGGATTATGTATGTACATATGAAATGCATATATGTAGAACTTTAACAGTTAGTGAAAGTACACACTTACATTGTTTTCTTGTGCAGGTTATCTGTCAACATAAAATAAAAGTTTATTTCAAAACAAATCAGTTGAAACAGAATACATGTTATTATCTGTTTTAAATACAATTAATATTTATACACCATATGGTTAGAAAAATATAGCTGCAGAAATAGGCAGTTGTGAACATGGGGGATTGAAAACAAGAAGAAAAGTTTTGAAGTTGAGGCAATGATTAATTGAGGCAACATCATTGAGCACTCTGGTAATGGGTGAACGGAACTTCATGCATGTTGGGGCATAGGCAAGTTTTGAATAATCACAAATTCACTGAGAGCAGAAGTCGAGAGGCTGGCTAGGAATCTCCTACAGTAGTCAAGTCTAAAGTAAGGAAAACATGGATGAGGTTTTCATCAGCAGGTGAGCCAAAGCAGAATTGGGCAAGGGTGGATACAGGCAGTCTTTGCAATGATATGGATGTGCTGCCAGATGCTTAGCTCAATGTCAAATATGACACTGACATTTCCAAACAAGCTGATTAAGCCTCACGCATTTATTGGAGCGAGTAATAAAGCCACTGGATAAGGAACAGAATTTGTGGCAGAGTAGAAAGATAATAGCTTCAATCTTCTAGATACTTGGTTGTAGGGAATTTCTATTCATCCAATATTGGATGTTGGACAAGAAATCTGAGAAGTTAGAGAAAGAGGTAGAGTAGTGTTAGAGCTTGTTGTGGTCAGGGTAGATATGAAAACTAATGCTGTGTTTCTAGATGACATTACCTGGCATAGCATGAAGATGAGAAACAAAGGACAGATCTTTGGAGTCATCAGAGATAATTGGGGAAGGTTATGTATTTAGTTTCTTTTAAATTACCATACCTATTCAGAAAAATAAATGATTAATACATTTCTTACAGCAAAGTAAAGCAATTTAATATGAACATTACTTAAATGTTAAAGCTTATTAAAGCAATACCTGCCCAAACAGTTTGATTTTTAACATTGTTTCACCAAACTTGGAGAAGCCACCTATATCTTATTACAATATTGATAGTAGAGTATGTAGAAAATACTGTACAGTATAAAGTGGTGAATGCAAACATTGAGATACTAATATATCCCTGACTTGATTAAATATTACTAACTTCAGGAGACTTTTTGCCTGTTGTAATAACTTATAATCACATGGGATTCAGGATGAGCTTGTCAATTGGATAGAAAATTAGCTTGATGGTAGGAGGCAAAGAGTGATTGTGGAGGGTTGTTTTTGGACTGGAGGCCTGTTACCAGTGATGTTCCATAGGAATTGGTGCTGGGTTCACTTTTGTTTGTCATTTATATGAATTTTGATCAGAGTATAGAAGGCATGGTTAGTAAGTTTGTGAATGACACCAAGATTGCTGGCATAGTGGACAGTGAAGAAGGTTATCTAAGATTATATAGAGATCTTGATCAATTGGATCAAAGGCCTGAAGAGTGGCAGATGGTGTTTAATTTGGATAATTGCGAGGTATTGCATTTTGGTAAAACAAACAAGTGTTGTAGAACAGAGACCATGGGTTCAGGTACGTAATTCTTTGAAGTCTGCTTCACATGTAGACAAGGTGGTTAAGAAGGCATTTAGCAATGCTTGCCTTCATTGCTCAGACATTTGAGTATAGAAATGGGGACATCATGTTGACATTGTACTGGAATTGGGTGATGTCTGTTCTGGAGTGTTATGCCCAGTTCTGGTCACCCTGTTAAAGGAAGGGTATTATTAAGCTGGAGGGCCTTCAGAAAAGATTTACCAGGGTGTTGCCTGAAATGGAGGGTTTGAGTTACCTGGACAGGCTGGAAAAGCTGGAACTTTTCTCACTGGAGCGTAAGAGGCTGAAGGATGACCTTAAAGAGGTTTATAAAATCATGAGGGGTATAGATAAGGTGAATGGCAGGTGTCTTTTCCCTAGGATTGGGGATTTTAAGACAATGGGGCATATTGTTAAAGTGAGAGGAGAAAGATTTCGAACAAAATATGAGGGACAATTGTTTTACACAGAGCCGTCTGTGTGTGGAATGAATTTCCAGAGGAAGTGGCTGATGTCGGTTTAAAAGGCATTTAGGTAAGTACATGAATCAGAAATGTATGGAAGGGTATGGGCCAACCGCGGGTCGGTGGAACTAGTTTAGTGTGCGATTATGATGGGCATGGACAGATTGGACCGAAGGGTCTGTTTCCGTGTTGTATGACTACAACTTCTAGAAACTTGTAAGTTACTGTGTCAAAATCTGGATTCGATTTCAAACAACTTATATTTTTCTTACCGTGACAGAGTCCGTTCCCATATAAAGAGCAGTAAAATAAAGCGAAATATACGATCCTAGGCTTGTCGTCATGCCTGTTGGTGTATTTTTCCGGCTGAGTTCCTCACTTCGTTCCTGGAACTGAACACATCTGGCGTGCCCTAGTGCTGCGGGGCGGCGTTTTATAATTCTTTGAGATGTGAGCGTCATGCCTGTTGATGTATAATCGACGACACCAGCGTAAGAGGGAAATGGAATTATTGGTCTCAGAGTACTGATACATGATCGTTAGTTTGAATATCTGTCATCCATATGTGAAAGTAACAAAGCTCCCTTTGTATCCAAGACAACAAGGTGCAGAGCTGGACGAACACAGCAGGCCAAGCAGCATCAGAGGACCCTTCTTGCTCCTCTGATGCTGCCAGCCTTCCTGCTCCTCTGATGCTGCTTGGCCTGCTGTGTTCGTCCAGCTCTGCACCTTGTTGTCTCAGATTCTCCAGCATCTGCAGTTCCTGCTATCTCCCTTTGTATCCAGTTTGACAATCCCGAGTGTTATTGTCAGGATGAGCTTTGTCCATTTTCAGTTCTGTACCCACCTCAAATTACCCACCAGCTGTGGAGGCAACCCGGATGGATCAGCAGAGCATTGTCCCTTTCCATGAGGCACGGTTCCAGGAGGAACACTAGGAGAACCCTCTTGACTGTGGATGACCAACCAGTTGTAGTGGACCATGTGTGACTTGGAGAAAATTGCAAATCCCTTTATAGGAGATAATCTACGTGCACACTGGTTGTCTAGCAAAAATCAAGGTGCATTGACGATTACCAACGGTGCAATTAAACGGCAGTATTAACGGATAACATAGCAACATTGGACAAATATTAATGGATTAGTCAGTTTGGAAGTTGGTAGATAGTCACCGAATCGCTGGTAAACCAGTGGTTGAATATGCATCTGAACTATTGCAGTCCATGTAGCCTGAGATGTTTCTGGCAATCTAATAGTTGTAGGGAACATGTAAATAGAATTGCTAATTTTCTAGATACAACTTATTGTTGTCCTAAGGGTTACTGAATGATATGCAAATAAAACACATCATTGTAATGACCTTACAGCCTCATGGCAAGTGAAGGTGTTATATGCTGTTACTGTTGGTTATGTTTGGAAATAAAAGTTATTGTTTCCCACTTTACCTCAGCAGGATCAATAGATATTGCTTGGCAACACAAGATCAAGACTAAACTAAGACAAGTACTGATGATACAATGAATTCTCCTCTGTCCTCCTTGTAGCACATCCACAGGAAATCTCCTGTAATGGCAGGCCACGTTCATCTGTCTTGCACCATCTTCAACTACCGCACCAGTAGGCTATGTTTACTTTCAGACTACACAGCATCGTACTACCAACAATGCTGAGGTGAAAACATTGATCATCCATGCTACCACCAAAACAACACAATGCAATGCAATGCAACCAGATGGATTTGTCCCTTGGAACCCAAGGCTCCCAACCACCACAGGGGGATAACCTGCTGTGGCTGTTTTCAAGTAATGTTTGCAATGACTGACACAAACTGCACACAAAAGTGCTTACAGCAGAGATAAAGATAACATAATTACGGCAAGCCAGCCAGTAAAATGCCATAGTTTTTACAACATGGAAAGAGGGCCTTTGTCCCATTATGTCAGTACTGGTCATCAAACATTTATCTTCTTAAATCCCATTTTTCAGTAGTTGGACTGTCGACTTGTATGGCAAGGCAGTTCATGTTCATCCAAACAGTTGTTAAATATGTTGAGGGTTCCCAACTCTACCACTCTTTCAGGTGTGAGTTCCAGATATCCACAACCCTCTGGGTGAAACAAAATAAATTCTTCAAAACTCTCTAAATCTCCTATTACTTACGTTAAAACTGTGCCCCCTGGTTATTGACCCTTTTATATGGTACAATTATATTTCTCCAAATATTAACTCTTTTATAAAAAACAAAAGAAACCAAATACACTTGCAGTTATACGTTACCCAACACACATGGTCAAAAGAAAAATCATTCATTACCAAATCAGTGTGTTAACACATGTCAGTTCTACTTATCAGTCTCAGCACATGCATTCCATGCATGATCTTTCAATCATGCAGGTTTGCTAATGGTACCTCTGTGCATTGTTGTTTGCAGTACCTCATGTATCTTCTTGTTCCTAACATGATGTTCCTTCTCTGGGAAGTGTCATTTTGATGGTGGGCACTGTTGCCATGGTAACTTGCTGATTAACATCTATTGCTGAGGAACAGTTGGCCTTTGAGACTGATGAATGTTCTGTTCTCTGTGTAGATGGAGAGATCACCTCTTAGTGGTTTGTTGTCTGTAGTGCAGGAACAGTTTTTTTGCTCACCCGATATGACCAAGGTGACATCTGCTGCTGCTTGGCCTGCTGTGTTCATCCAGCTCTACACCTTGCTATCTGACATCTGCTCTACACAGGTTCAAATTGCCATGTTGGCTGACTTTAGAAGCATTGCACTCTGGCTCTCCAGCGTGCAGCTCTGATAATGACTTAGCAGTTTTGTCAAAGTGAAAAATGGCCTTTTCTCATACCACCTTGGTGATGTCACTCATGGTTGTTATTACTTCTGGCTTCAGATTTGTTTCGCCATTTTAGGAGTAGGTCGGGTGCAACATGACTTTATCTTTGAACTGTTTTACTTCCCAGTTCTCTATCCAGTTCTCTCATTATTGTATATGTTTCAATATGATCACTTCACATTTTTCTAAACTCCAAAGGGCAAAGGCTCAATCTCTTCAACCTTTCCATATCCTAGAAATGATTTGAATAAAATTTATGAATTGCATTTAATGCAACCATATTTTTTTTCAAATAGGAGTCAAAAACTATACAGGGTATTCCAGTACTCCATCCAATTGTTGCTAACATCCAGTTGCAAAAATGTTGAATTTTAAAATCAAACATTTTATTTTGAGGAATACAAATTATGTAAATAGAGAAAAAAAAAGGAAAGAAAAGGTAGTTATTGAGGGAGAGCATGCAATGCTGGGAGAAAATGAAGATTGCAGGAGACAAAAGTGGGAAAGGGGAGATGTTCAGGTAGACATAGTGGGTAAGAATTGAGAGAGTTGGTTGATAGATTGGATGTCGGAGTGTGGGAGATGGGTTTGAGAGAAGGTAAGTGGAGTAGAGGCAGAGAGAGGAAGATGAAGGCAGAGAGCTAAAAACAAACAATTGAAAGACATGAAGTGGTGAGACAGAAAAAGAAGAAGATTGGAAGAGAAAACAGAAGGCTTTGAGTAAGGCAGGGTTATAAGACAAGATAACGAAAAGGAAGCTTCAGTGTGAGGGATACGTTACAAAGAAATAATATAAGGGAAAGATACAGACAATGAAAGAGCAGTATGAAGTTGACGGACAGTTGAGAAAAATTACTTTCTCCATCTGTGAAATTGCCATTGGTTATCTCCTAATATCTTGCATCTCATGCATGACTTTCACATTCCAAATGTCATACTATTATTGGCATTTTTTTAAAAAGGGGCTATCCTTTAAAGAACTGTATCCTTTAAGTAAATGATCCATCTTGGCTTCCTCCAGAGGTTCTCAGCATCATAGATGCCAGTCTTCAGCCAATTTGATTTACTCCATGATATCAAGAAACAGCTGGAGGCACTGAATAATGCAAAGGCTATGGGACCTGACAATATTTCACAATAGTACTAAAGACATGTGCTGCAAAACTTGCCATGTCCCTAGCCAAGCTGTCCAGTATAGCTACATCATTGGGCTCTAACTGAGAATGTAGAAACGACATAAAGCAGGACACATCCAAACTGGCTATTTTCCACCCCAACAGTCTACTTTGAATTTTCAGTTAAGGGATGGAAGATGTCATTTAAGAGTGCTATCACATAGCATGTGCTTAGCAATAACCTGCTCTCTGATGCCCAATTTGGGTTCTACAATGCCACACAACTCCTAACCACATAATAGCTTTAGTTCAAACATGGACAAAAAAAGCTGATTTCCAGCGATGAATTGAGAATGACAGCTCTTGATATCAGGCCACATTTGACCGAGTGTGGCATCCAAAAGTGCTAGTACAATTGGAGTCAATGGAATAAGGGAGGAAATCAATCAATGATAGAAAACTCCACTGGATTCATATCTGGGACAAGGGAAGATATTATGATTGTTGAAGTTCAGTCTTCTCTGCTCCAGGTCATTTCTGCAGGAGTTCCTCAGGGTAGTTTCCAAAGCCCAATCATCTTCAGCATCTTCATCAATGACCTACCCTCCATCATAAGGTTAGAAGTGGGGATGCACAATATTCAGCACTATTCGAGACTCTTACATAATAAAGCAATCCATGCCCAACTGCAGCAAGATCTGGACAATATACAGGTTTGAGCTAACAAGTGGCAAGTAACATTTGTACCATGCAAATGCCAGGCAATGACTACATCTAACAAGAGAGAATCTAACCAACTTTGCTTGATATTCAATAGCATTTCCATCACAAAATCACACACTATCAATATCCTAGGGGATAACATTGACCAGAGACTGAACTAGACTAACCATACAAATACTGGAGCTGCAAGAGCAGGTTGGAGACATGGAATCCAGCGGCAAACAACTCACCTCCTGATTCCCCAAAGCCCGTCCAGTATCTACAAGGCATAAGTCCAGAGTGTGACAGAATATTTCTCACTTAGCTGGATGAGTCCAATTCTAACAATATTGAAGAAGTTTGAACCACACAGGACAAAGCAGCCACTTGATTGACACAACATCCAAAAACATTCACTCCTTCCACTAACAACACACAGTTCCAGCAGTGTCTACCATCTACACGACACACTACAGAACTTTACCAATGTTCCTTAGCCCCTTCCAAACCCATGACTACTTCCATCTGGAAAGACAAGAGCAGCAGGTACATGGGAACATCACCACCTATGATTAGCTTTCCTTACTACTCTCCATCCTGACTTAGAAATAACAAAAATAGATATTGATAAAAAAAAGCTCAGCAGGACTGGCAGCATCTGTGGAAAGAAATCTGAGTTAACTGATGGCAGTTCTGTGAAAGGATCACTCAACCC